CTGCTTGGCCTCAAGGGAAATTCTTTAAACCTTATCTTCCTACGTGGCTAGTGTCATGCTTGATTTTCGTAACTTCCGGCACACTATCAGTGACAAGTGGGAACTCAAATTATTACTGTTAGAAGTGTAAGAATTGTAATTGTCCTGACTTTGTATTTGGTGGAATAATTTACCAGGTGCTAACCAAAAATTTTCAGAGGAAATTTTGCATTAACAAAAATCAAACTAAAATTTTGAGCTGATCAGCATTCTTTCTTACGTTTATTTTGTGTTTCATGGGTTTATAGTAAGCTTCCTGGTGCTCTGTAACGGTGGAGGCCACTTTGAAGTTTGGTTGGATCTCTGTTTTTAAGGGATTGGCAGGATCTGGAAAAGAATATGAATTCAGCTGCTGGGTCAGAAATGTCAACCCTTACAAAGGCAGAAGATGACATAACACAGCAGTGTACTGAACTTGCCAAAAAATAAAATACTTTAGATTGGATTCTGTAAGAATCACATTTGCTTTCATTTTTTCCCACATAGGTAATTTCAAAATCTTGCACTTTGCCCAGGTGCAAAATAATGTAAATACGATTTATTTTTTATTTACTTTTCTCTTTTCAAAAAAAGTATGCTTAAAAAGATGTAAGACTTTTTGATTCTTTCATATTTCTCTCAAAATATTTTGGATTTTTCTGTTCCTAATCTAAATTCACAGAAAGTAGGATGCTTTAACCTTCTGTCTAGTATTCTGAGTCAGTGTTTGCCTGCACTCAATGAACAAGATCCACATTGAACTTTAACACCAGAGGGTAGAGTGAATTTTGAAGGCAAATTCTTCCAAACTGTAGCAAATACAAAAACACTGGCATAACTCTATTTACAATGAGTCCCACTGAAGCTGATTTCCATGTGCAGTATTCTATAATTCTCACTGTCAACATGCAGACAAAAGGGCTAAAATCTTTCCTCTTTCACATTTTACTCTTATTTTATTATTAAATTTTCAGATTTAAAAGATCTGCCAATAGGTCTTGGTTTAAGAGCTATGATTATTGAGTGAATGATGTCAGTTTTTCTTAAACAGCATTAAATATATACTACCTGGATCTCAGGTATTTCTTTCATACTAGAAGGGATGATGTTCAGCAAGCAAATCAACAATAAATCTACTAAAAAAGGTGATATTTTCCCTTGTAAATGTCTTAGCAAATTAGCAAATTCTACTGAATTTCCTTAACATGCGTGAAAGCCGGGAGCTTTGCTTTTCGGATGGACGTTGGGTGGTGGCCGACTACATTGAACTTGAGGGCCCGACTTCACATTCATAGTCTACGGCTAAACATGGTCCCATGTGTCTCGGACATTAATTAATGCTAGTATCATATCATTCATACGTTTAAGAAGAAAATAATACCTGTTGTAACATATTAGGATTTTTCTTGATACTTTTACATTGTATGATAAGCATTTACATTTTTAAGAATGAACATTCAAAAACATAATATTCAAACAATGAGATATTAAATAATAATGAATTTGCTCATCTGAAACATGCACCCAGGCTCCATGACTGCACTAAACTATGGCAACCTTGTAACAGTCACTTACTATTTCAATGTTTAATTTTGAATTCAGTTCTTTGAAATTGTCACATTCTTTAAATGATTGTATGTGTCTTCACTCTCCTATGTGTTTGGGGCTATTTATTGGCGTCATCAGAAGAAATTCAGCTCAAACCACATTGGGTTAGGTTGTTTAGACTTTTAACACTTTCTAACAACTGTATAGTTCTGGTTTTGGCTCCAAAAAAGGAAGGCGGATTAGGAAATTAATGTAGTAATAGATCATAATTTGCCATTAAATAATTGCTTTTAGACTCCTCTTCAAAAAAATATTTGGTTCTAGTATTGACGGAAGCATAACAATCAAGTTAAGTGTTAGAGGAAATCATTTTAGACAGATGGCTTTAAAAATCCAACTGAATAGTTTTAAGAAGTTTGTACTCACATCAACATTCCCAGAAGGTTTCTGCTTCCTTGAGCAGGATGATAGTATCTCTAATTCAAGGAAAGATGATTTATAAGCACTGAGGTCTGGAAAATAAATTTTACACTTAAAGTGTTCCCTGTTCTGTTATGGATCTCAGAAATGTGCCAGGACTATTTTCGTCTAGTAAAATGAGTGCTTTTTTATGACTATTACCATATTCCTTTTTGGTGAGACTTCTGTATTATCTAAGCAGACAGAAGAAAAGGTCCCTCTGTATAAGGCTGTGGGTTAGACTCACCCTTTTGCTCACCTGGTATTAGTTCACATGTATCCAAACTACTGTGCAAGTTTCTTTTCTAACAGTTGACATGCATTTCTATACCCTGCCTGATTTACCGTATGTAAATATATGGTATATGTGTAAATACCGTATGTAAATATACAGTATACATGTACCATATATTGGTATTTTTCAACCACATTTTTTCGGTCACATTTATAACTTTTGTCTCTATGGATTTGCATTTGAATATATTTTCCAATACTTTCTGTTAGTGCTTATTTCTTTTTCAGTGTGAGGAGAGGAGGAGACACTGTACAGCTGATAAGGTGGATGTCTACCTTACACTTTTCACTTGGGTTACAAGGAAGAAAAATCTTCCTTTGGAGCTGGGAGCTTCCCTTGTCTGCCTCAAAATTATGAATTACTGTCTTTACTTCCGGCCTAAAGACTGGTAGCCAGTTTCAGAGACAAATGGGATTCTTCCTTTCTTTATTGGAATGCATCTTCAGTGTTTTATAATCTACCTATTTTTTTAAAAAATCTGTGATAATAAAATAAAGAGGATCATAGGAATTTTCTTTGTCCTTTTAAGGTTCTGATTTTGACTATTTCTTAGCTTGGCATTTAAAAATAAGTAATGGTCAAAAAGTAGATGAATTTTTTCCTTTGAAATCACTTTCTCGGAAAAAATAATCAAGAGAATGACATACACATCTGCATAATGATTTAACTAGATTTCCTTTTCAGTTAAATTTTGCCTTGGAAGAAATCTTTAAATCTTAAAATGTTTTCATTTTACACAATGAGTTTTCTTGAGAAAAGGTTTTTATTAATTCCTATCTTTCGGGGTTAATATTCATCACTATGGTGGAAAATGGGTCTTTTAACTTTTTTCTGTATTATAGCTATAGATGAAAAAGTCCATTTCATGTAGATTTCATTTCTCTTCACTCACAATATTAGATTTCAAAGCTTTTCAATCTTTTGGAAAAATTATATGACATTTCAGTGTCACAATTCTATATGACAATTTTAAATGAAATAAACTGGACACTTTATAAGTATTTTTCGGATATATTTTTGTTTGTTGCATATAATAGTTTAGAGTTTTCATAGAATAAATTTAAAGCCCATTTTATTTTGGGAGGGTTTATGGCGTATTAGTGTCTTTGTCACATTTATATGCTACCTTTCTCAATTTAAGCACAGCTGCCTAAAAACTGCCTTCTGTTTCCAGAGAGTGTGTAGGACGGGACTGAGACGGGGACGGGGCCTAGGCTGGCATAGCGGTGGCCTCACACTGATTGTTCACCTCGGGAGGTGGATTTAAGGATATTCATCCACAGAGGTATAGGGTGAGCTCATGAAGCTTGACGTGGTGGAGGCAGGTTTGGAATTCCTGCGGGAGCAGCCGCTGAGGCCTGGGCCTCCTGGCCTCGCTCTTGCCTTCCGCCCGGACGTGGTGTCGTCGGCATCACCAGGGCCCGGCACGGCTGTCAGGGACTCCATCCTGGTCACCGTGTACAGGCTGCTGTGCCGAGCTGGGTGAAATCTGGTGGTTTTGAGCTCCAGTTCGTCGTAGCCGGAGACTTTGATGAAAGGGCACCAGCGAAATGCTCTCTTGAAGCCAGCTCGAAATCTGAGGAGGAGGAGGCCACAGGAAGAAGCAGTCACGTTTCCAGGCTGCCACAGAAGGCCCTGCGAAGGCGGTTACGCCGACTCAGGTTTTAAATTTCATTTTCTAGGCAAACTCTTAGAGTTTGTGCCAAGTATTGGTCTTTTAAATTTTTCTTGTTTTAATTGAATCTTAATTTCCCACAAATGAGAAGCAAGTCATCAAATAGCAAAAGCATAACACCAGGTAATCAACATGCCAAGGAAACCGTGTCCTTTTCTGCAATAATTTCACACAGGTACGTAAGTCTGACTGAATTAGGTCAGCCTGTGGAGGTGCTTAACATGACATTTCAAAATAGCTTCTTCCAGAAATAATTACACATCTATAAATTTGTCTCATTTACTGTTTGCATTAATGGCCAATCTTGATTGTTTTTATATAAGCTACATAAAAGTGCAAAATCTTTATCTTTGTAAGCCATTAGCTGAAGTCGATTAACAGCAGACGTACTGCTTGCGGGGCGGCGTGAATTGAGATACAGCTTACGCCGGTGCTGAGAAAAGTGAGAGTTAGTAAGTATTTAACAAACTAAGGCCCAGTGTGACAAAGTGGGACGAGAGCTTAGTATGTGGCCCCTGCAGTTACTCACGAGTCCTGTTTCTACTCAGGCACAAAGTACGTCGGCTTATTGAGGGGTTTATCAGCCCTGTGAAATGTGACTGTTCCCCTCATGTGCTGACCAAACAACCAATGTGCTTTTAACTGGAAGCCACGTGTTACCTTTTTTCTAGTTTTAAATTAGACTGTAAATACTCCTACTTTTAATTTTTTTAGCTTTATAAACGTCTTTCCCTTGATGACTCCAATTTCTTCACAAGCCATCCCCACGGAGGCTGCCCTCTTACCCTACCTCCTAACGCATTAAGGATTGGAATTCTCCTTGTCCTAATTCATCCTTATAAAATCTTCTACTTTGAAGTCTATTTACAATATATCTGTTTTAATAGAGTCCGCTCATGTTTTCCGTCGTCTCTCCGTCCTGTAGAAATTACCTGTGAATTTCTAGGAAGTGCCTTCGTTCCTCTGAGGATTTGAGCACATTTTCAACTCGCCTCCTTCAATCTTAGGGCATTTCTTTTTCTTTGTTAGGTAAAACTCTGCAGGATTTGGAGGAGGAAGCTGGCACATATTAAAGCTGCCCAGTTAGAACCTCTAAAAACGTTTTGGGCATGTAATTGTGAAGATGGGACATTTTAGAAAGTAGGGGAGTCTTAAAAATATCAAGCTTTGTGTTCCCTTTCAGTGAATTTTTATATTTTCCCTTCCTTCCATACTTTAAATTTGCACCATGAAGCAGGGACAACATTATGTGTTTCTAGATACGGCCGGAATGACAAGAGACTTGCATTTGGTGGTTTTGTGTTTACCTCTTATTCAGACAGCAGTAGATGATGGGGTTGTACATGGTTGAGCTCATGGCCAGCCAAAAGCTGGCCAGGTAGACCTGCTGGATGTATTTCCACCTGTTGAGCTGTTGGTAGATCGCGGTGAGAATGAAGTAAGTGTGATAGGGCAGCCAGCAGATGGCAAATGTCATCACAACAACAATCATCATTTTTACAACCTAGAAAGAAAAGAAGAAGACATTTTTGGCGAATATATACAAGTCATTAAATATAATGGTTCCAATAGCTTATTGCAAATCATGCTTTTCTGCCAGCACAGTTAAATACATAGCATGCCTAAGAAACAGTCGACGTAGTAAATAATGGTGAAGCAGAACAGGGACACTTGCCCGAGGCAGGTCTCAAGAACGTAGGTCTGTGTCACCATTTATCTCTCCCTCCCTGAGCGAATGGGTAGCACTGACACGAACATAGACAAATATGTTTTAATTGTCCTGAAGAAAATATGCTTGCAAAGACTCAGAAAGCCTGTGGGAGAAAGAGGCGGGAGCTAGGACATGGCCGTGCTAGCCCGCACCGTGCAGTGGTGGAGACAGGAAGCCCGGGGAGACTGACTGCGGCGTCACACTGGACGTACTCTGGGCTCGAGGGCTGGGGCGTCCTCAGCATTTGTTACAGCTTCAGACCGTTCAGCTGTTTTTAATACCATGCTCACTAGGCAACCTTATGGGTATTGATTTGGTCTCCCTTGTAATCTGGTATCAGGGAAGGTTTTCCCAAAGAGTGATTATAAATATTCACATTAATCTGAGAAAAATTACTAAGTTTAAATTTGTAAATAGGCAACTGGCTAATGCAGCTGTTTTATGTGTCAGATCTGTGAGTTTGGTAAGCACAGGTCATTTCCTTTGATTCTACTTTGGAGCCATAATGACCTAGCCAAAGTAGAATGTCAACTTCTGTTTCTCCTCCACTGGGCCCTAAATTCCTGAAAGACAGAAACAATGTCTTAATTATCTTAATATTCCTAGGCTCTAGCACAGTCCCTGGCATATAGCTGGAGATAAAGAAATATAGAATGAATGAATGATTGAATGGGGGATGTTTTCTGTGTCTCAGAATAAAATAAAATCTACCATTGTCTGTGTCTATAAGAAAGGTAAAATCGAAGGAGATAAACGCTGAGCAGCTTCGTTTGGTGTATGAAAGGAAATTAACGTAATAGTCTCTGATTACCTCATTTAATATATCTCATTATTCTGTCTGCTAAATTTGTTTACACTTCCTTTGGGGATGTGTAAACAGTAAACATTGTCTAGAATAAGATATATTAAATAAAGTGATTTCGAGGCTTACCTGCAGCCAGATTAATTAACACAAATCAGAGAAAGTCCTGACGCGAATGGCTTATGAGGAATCTCAGAATTAGGAAAATACAGTATTTGTGAAATAGACTTATCATTTGACTGCAAGTTCGGGATTCAGATGAAAGTTGACGAGGTTAAGAGTCATGACACTAGAAATAGACAAGGCATGAAATGGATCGATGTGGAAGGCAAAGCTCCCCCGAGGGCCTCTTCACTGCACCATCCAGGTGACCAGCATTGAGCCGACAGAAAATTGGCCATCAGAGTTGAAGATCCGGGTCAACAGCTCACAGAATGTCATCGCTGGCTGCACCGTGGAAAGTATTTTGATTTTCTCAGTGTTTTTCAAATTGCATCGTTTTCTTCTGAGGAACTACATTCAGACTTGTGCATTTTGATTCTGACGTCTTATTCATATATTTGTGAAATACAACTAAAAGCCATTTTAAATTTACCTTTATGCATATTTGACGTATTTAACAACTTATTGTCTTTCAACTGCCAATTAGAAAACTGAGGCAAAGACCAAAAGATTCGACCAGTGTGATTCATTTAGAACCAAGGAAGGTCTTTACACCTCAGACTTTTTATTTCAGTACAGTTAAAACACATTTATTGAATACCTGTTACATCAAGAAGATAATATTGGGAAAAATAATGATAAAGAACCAATTCCTTACCCCAAAGCTAAAACCATAATGAAAAAAACCCGAAAATGTGAAATTTGTAAAAATGCTTGTATCGAATGTGGTGAATATGAACACGTGCAAATAAAACCAAAAATAACATTTATGAGAACGTATGAATTTACTGTAATAAAGAATGACTCAATGCATGTCTGCTAGTTGTGGGCTCAGGGGAGAATTAGAGTGAGTGAAATGTGTTCTACTGATGTTTTGCTTCTTAAATACGTGAACATCTTACCATTCCTGAGGACTGCGCTGGATTATTCTCCCTGGCTTCTCCCCCTGCCTCTCGCACTCCTCTGATGACGATTTCCAGTGGCTAACTCCCTCATCTCCTTGAAGCCATGGCACAGGTCTCATTTTTTCTGTGAATCCTACGCTGACCAACTGATTTAAATTTGCAATCTGCAGTCCCAGAACCTTAGCTTGCTCTTTACTTTGAGTTTGTTATGTTTATTCTTTATTTCATGTATCCTCATGCTGGAACACAAAAGAGCAAGAATTTTCTGCTTGTTTTGTTCACTTACGTATCTGCCGGCACCTAGACAGGACTTCACACATAAAGGGTACTCGAAAACTTCTTAAATAAATCAGTGAACACCAAACAACAGAAATTGAAGGACCCACAAATGACCAAGTGATGTCCAAGACTTTACTCAGTCATTCACTACTGGGGTCGTTTGTTCTCCAAGTTTAAAAAGGACATGTGTATATAAAATAAGCATCCCATTTACTGCCAGTTCCCCTTTCAGGACAAACAAATACAGATAAAGAGAATGAGTGTAAAAAAAAATAACGATTTTTGTTGTGGGTACATGTGAGCTTCAAGTTTCATTCTGAATAAATGTGAAGGGCAAGAAAAATATCTATGAGAAAGTGACCATGGAGTTCATCTGAATCCTTTTATATAGATGAATCCCAAACTCCCTATGCATAGAATTGGTTTCCAACAATAACTGAAGACCAACGGAAGCTATCAGAGTCTTTTTAAGGGACTTTCAACTGTCAACATGGAAAAAGTCCAGGTAAACATACGAAAAATTAAAATGCATGTGGAGAACGAAACGGAGATTTCAGATAACCTCTAACTCACATATATAGGGCCTTTGGGGCCTTGTTGCAAAAGATTTAGAAACGTATTTGAAGATTCTTTAGAAAAAGCTTAAAAGACCCTTAAAAAAGAGTTCTCTAAAGAAAGAACTGCACAATATAATTTATTTATTTATTTCTGTAAAATACTGTCACCTCGACTCTCTGCTCACAAAATATTGTAGAGTTATTTCAGATGTGGGAATCTCAGGACCCCAGTTGTGATGTAAACGCAAAAGTAGGCTCTGGGGAGGGAGAAATTGTCTTGCTTTGCAAAATGCTGAAATCACAAAATCGTAATCATCTTGCTCACAAAGTGCTATGGAAAAGAGCTCTTCGAAACACCGAGCCTGAGCAACGACAGTGTGCAGACGTCGCGGGCGGTTTCCACGTGCTGCGTGGCTGGACGACGGCACCAGCCCAGACAGGCTGGGATGCTAAACAGGAAAGGAATTCAGCTGGTAGAATTTGTGAAACTCCTGAGACTTTTAGGCAGGATGAGAGTCTGGGATGGAGAAGATTCAAACCTTTCATCATGTCTTAACAAATTTTATTGTGACTTGAGGTACAGGCTGGTCGATGTTGGGTATTTCGTAAAGCTGAAAGACATATCCTGCTTCTCAGGCAATGGGAGCCGTTTTCCATGGCAACACGTCTGGTTGTGTCCACCCGCTGTCCTTGGTACAGGAGCTTACCAGCAGGAGGAGAAGGGGAGGTGGGGGCAAGTGACGCTGCTCTTAGAAAGTTATGGTGCCTATTTTTAGTAGTGAAGACCCATTTTACACAGGCAGGATGGAGACGCATGTCACATGTTAGTGAGAATAAGCCTTGGGTACTTTTTCTTCATGTATCAAAGGGGGAAAAAAATCTTTGATTTTTGTATCGTGTACAGATTCTACTGAAATGCCTACAGCTGTTCTTATTCATTACATTAAATTAGTGTAGGATGGATGACTTTGAGGTTTACGCTATAAAAGAATTACTTTAAGGAATTAAACTACTGCCAACCATTTAAAAAAATCTAGGAGTCATATTTTTCAGTAAAAGATTTATTCTTTCTACATGTCTCAGATAGAAATGATCAGTTCTGTGTGACAGGAAACTTCTTGTTTTGATTAGAGTCTTCTCAGAGCACATGTTTTAAATGGACCAAACCCTACCACTTGTCCGTACTTTTCCTCTGTACAAATATTCTCAAATGGATCATGACATTTCTTTAAGTAAAAATTACAGACAAGCTTATTTTAAGCACAGATGAGCAGACTAATATAATATTCTCAAGAATGAGATATGAAAATTTCAATGAAAAGCATTAACATTAAAGTACTACTTCGTGAGCTGTTTAGGGTTGGCTTTTGGTGCTTCACTTTGAAAGAATTTGCTTAAGAATTTTGTCACAAGTGAGAAAATAAGAACTTAGTGTGACCTGTGAAAACAGCACAGGATGGCTCAGAAGACAGATTGAATTGTACCAGTAATTTCAGGATTCGGTGGGAATATAGGCGTATTATGTTAGAATCATCCACAAAATTGGACGCTGTTGCCAAATCCAATTAACATATATGTTGCCTGAACATTAGCCTAGAGAAACGCCTGTAAGAAATTATGTCAAGCTCAAACCAGTGAAAATAACTATATTCACATGCTTGCAGATATGGAAAATGTTTTCGTGCGCATTGTGTTGTGTTTGTACTTCTTTACATTTCACCGGGCCCATTTTATTTTGATGTAGTTTTACTTTTTTATTGGAAGCTTGATCTTTGAGAGCATGATAATATAATGATCTGAAACCAAAGAAAGGAATGTAGCCACAAAAAGGAAGAAAAGATTGTTGGCATTAGGAAAGCATGTTGGCGCAGAAGGAATAAAGATTGGTTCTATGAGATGACACTGAGATAAAAACTTATCGAGGTTTGGTATGGCCTGAATTGTGTGCCCCGGGTTCAAATGTTGACGTTCTAACCCCCAATAGCAAGGGCGTGACCGTATTTAGAGAGAGGATCTTTAGAGAGGTGATTCAGCTAAAATGAGGTTATCAAGGTGAAGTCTAATTCAGTATGACTGATGTCCTTATAG